CAGCTTGTACTTGCTCTGTTCATCACCAACACCGAAGGAGTCGTATTCAGCGTAAGCTGTTTGGTTTTCGAAGTCTTCCAGGTCTACCCGAAGCCTTCTTTGTTCTTTTGTCAGTCGGTGAATCTTTTCTAGTCCGAGCCAAAATTCACCATTCAGATTTCCAAAGCCTCTTTTGTAGTCGTCCCAGCCGCGATAGAAATCTACCGAGCCGTCCAGTCTCTTTTGGAACACAGTCCATCCCCCACCGGCCGTTGTTTGGTCACAATAAACATCAAAGGCTCCAGTATTATCAGGGTCGATAGTGTAGACACCACTGGTTCGCAAACCGGCTTCATAGACCTCAGCACAACTACTGTAAACTGGAAAACACGAATGCAGCGACAGCATTTCGAATCCTTATCACTTTAATGCAATATGAAAGACGCGTGACTTAGAAGTTAGTCACTCGTCATAAATTAGCATAATCTTTAGCAGAAATATTACCTTATTAAAAAAAAAAAAAAAAACACGCGACGGGGCCAGCATTACTGGTCCACAATCGGTCGTCAACTTTTATCTTGGACTGTTTTCCTTTATCATATTCTTGAAATAAAGCTAAACTTACAAAAAATAGTCGGTCAAGTGCCTGATGGCCGCTTAATAGAGGTGACAACAATGGGATGAGAGTACCTTGTTCGCAGTTTTCACCTTTGAAACCAGCTGTGCAAGCGCAAACGTAGTTCTTCTCAGTATATCCCATGTAGCACGTTCCGTTGTTCAGGCAAGGCTGACTTGCACAAAGATTCTGTTAAAAGAAACGCAGCTTCAATGAATTTTTATTTAAATCAGCTTCTCCTAGGCTATGATGAACTACGAGTAATCCTATTCCTATTTAAACCTTTCCGTTATTCTTTCGATGGAATTATGCAATAATTTTAACTCAAACGTAAACGAAAGGCAAAAAAAATACCGCTTTTGGACCGAAAAGATATCCCGCGCGACCGGCAGTCCAAAAAGGCGCGAAAACAAAAACCGAAAGTCGATAATAATAATAATGGGCACTTAATGGAAGTTCAATTGCATCTTCTTTTAGTGCCTTAAGTTTTGAACTCTTTTCTTTACTCCCAAAACTGTTCTCTTTTTGGTGTGCAACGTTATTTAATATTTTTTTTTTGGTAAGTTAGGCGACCGTCGTCAAGCGTCCAATAATACAAACACATAATTACATAAAGCGGAAAAATGGACATAAATCATCCAGGTTTTTAAATTAAAGTGTAATTATGAAAATTTAAAGGGCGGATTGCAGCCAATCCAAAGAGGAGATTTAGAATTTAAAATAAATTATAGGAAACTGCATATACCGCCGAGACCGACATTTTTATCATCTTTATCATCAGAAGCTTGGAATTATCATAAATCAACCACTACATGATAGTGGAAATGGTTCAAAATTCATCTTGACTTGACAACATTATTTTCAACAACAACAATCTTTTTATTTACAAGAAATAAAGTTATATACATTAAAAATTTACAGATCATACCTTTGTCCCTCTGTAAATCCAGTCCTTTCTTGGTTTGAGATCTTCTGGGTGCTGAAAGTCATCTGAATTACTGAGTTCACAGGCCATCTTGTTGTTGATCTTTGGACCAATATTATATGAAACACATTCCCTCGCAAGAGCGCATTGGTCTTGGCAGTCTAGGTTTAGTTCCACAGAATGATTTGAAAATACGTGTCCTTCAAGGTAAAACCCACCAACTGGTGTCAGAAATGTGATGCGTCGGCTGTTTTGTCCGCAGGTTCCTGAAACAGAAATTAATACTGATTTGAGAGAGGATGTGATTGACTGTATTGCACCGCAATAACGGTATGTATATTAATTAGTAATCACATGATTTTTCTCATGTAATTTGCAAGAAATGCAGAGGACCTGTAAAATTTTCAAAGACCGCAAATTGCACTCGTCCTAACGGGCCATTTAGTTCCTGCCCAAATTTTGCCCGAGGTTAAACGCGCTTTTACTCACCATCTTTAACAGGGCGAATAAATGTTGGGCGGTGAAACGAGCGCTCCGCTCTTTATTTTTAAAATGTGTGATGCGGAGTAGGACTGGCACGAGCGTTTTTTCCGCGCTTCCGGTGCGCTTGAAGGCAGGGGAAATTTTCCTTTTTTATTTTCTTTCTGTAATTTCAGGCTACAATGTTAAATAGATAAATTCGTTTGATAACAATATCAAGAAACAGTTTCATATGTTTGTGTTTGTATGCCTATAAGTCAAACTTGTTGGTCGTATAATGCCAAAATTTGAGTTTAATTTGAAAGTGTTGAATACCTCCTCCTTCCACTAAATATCACCTAATCGTCGTTCGCCGTTTCGCTTTCAAAAGCTTAACACTTCTTAACCTCAATTTTTACATATGTAAAGGGGGATAAATTTTATATAACATAACAAAAAATTAGATTGATATATTTTGATATAGTGGCGTTGTACTGCTTTAAACTTTGCTTCTCGGGTGCAACGCTCCATGGCAAATCGCTCCATGGCAAATCCGGCAACCGCATGTAAACCAAAATTTATTGAGGTTAGTTGTAAGGTTTTTTCTCCATTTTTCTCTCTAAAATAAAACAAGGTAAACAGTAAAAACTGAGCGGAAACTAATTTTGAAGTTTCGAAGAACTAGAAAGACGTATGAGATGTTTTTTTCAAAATTAAAAAGAAGGATAATGGTGATTGAAATTAGCATAATGTCACCTTGCACGGGCTGCACGCATTTATAGAGTGTTTTCACATGACGTCACGGCAGCCATATTGGTGTCCCAAAACAATGAAACGGCAGCCATGTTGGACATGTTGGTTTTCCCAAAACCAATCCTGTGGGAGTTGAACTCTTTTCTCATGCAAACGCTTTCTTTTGTTCCCATAAATTTGCATAGATGCTGGCCACGTGAGTGAAAACACTCTATAAAATACACGTCTGGCATCTAGTTATGAAACACGATCTGCTGTCTTTTAGTTTTGCCATGGATGACATGGATGAGATTTTCCCTCGTGTTTTAGACAGTACTTAGTTTTTTTTGTTTTGGAATAACATCGACATTGGCAAGTAGTAGAACGAAAATATAATTCAGTGGTAGAGTCATGGAAGTAATAAGGGAAACCCTTTAAAAGAGATGTTTGTCTACTCCACTGAACTAAACCTTCCGCAAAAATTGCAACATTTACCTCTCGGAGATAGCGTACCAACACAAAGGAACGATGAAGAAGTGCAAGAAAACAAATCAAGCCGTCATAATTCAGTGACAGCGGCAGTGTCTAATGGACAAACCACATCGCTAGCCCCGACCGAAGTCGAAAGCAAGCGACATTCCTAAGCAGAGTCCCAGTCCACTGCATAACTCCTTTTGCTCGGACGCGCTAGTTTCACCGCCCAACCTTTATCCGCCCTGTCTTTAATTTCCCGCGCTTTTGGTGCCGGAAAATTGACCAATCACAAGTGTTGTGAGGCATAGCAAGTAGTGACGCAAAACACAAAATTGAAAGTTTGTTGCAAAAAGTAGAACTCAGGCCTACTTTGCGCGACAATATGTTGCCGCAACTTGCAACATTGAAATTTGTTGTGTGACAAGTTGGGAGCGAAGGTGGAAATAAAAGCAACAACGCTTTTCAACTTGCAATGCAACGATGTTGTGTGACAAGTTGAACGAAAATGTTGCCCGTATTACTTGACATTTTAACGGACCAGTTCAAAAATTTTACTCGCGCTCATTTATAATCCAATTCCATTTTGTATTAAACCTGCATGAAATGCGTTTTCTTACTCAAAACTGTTCAGACCCTGGGGGTACGCAACGAAATTTTATACGGAAAGGCTCCTTCCGAGATCTAACCCCTTACCCTTTTAGATACCATTTTTGCCAGAAAGGGTACCCTTTTTATATACCCTCTCTTGAAAAAATTGTACCCCTTTCACAAATCTAGTTTAGAACGTTAATTTTGTCTCCCTTTTGACTGCCGTAAATGTGCTGCCTTTAAAATAATCTATTATTATAGATTCAGGTAGGGCTAAAAGCGAAGCTCTTGTTAATTTTTATAGTTTACTCAAACAAAATATAAAATCGTGGAATGCTAAGCGGAGATGGCAACGAAAACGGCCAAAATAAAATCAGTAGGTCTACTTAGAAAAAAAAACAACTTTGCCGGGTGCAGCACAATTTCTTTTCTTGTACATTTCTTTGTCGTTGTTTTGCACGACTACAACGTGAAACTTCCAGAAACTTCCTAGTAACGCGTTTTATGGAGAAAATGTCGTATGTGTTCCTGTTCCCTTTGTTTTTTCACTGCCGCTCATAACCATTTTAACCTCGGTGGCCACTAGCATTTCTCATTTTCTCACTGCCAGTATGAAAATTTCATATTTTCTCGCTCCCAACGAAACTGGTCTCTTCTGTTTTTAATCTCTCGGTCTAGCTTTTTTTCTGTTATCCACATCAATGTAGACATTGAAATTTAGTCGAAAGAAAGCAGAGGCTTTGTTGTTTATTCTTTCTAAGGATCCGCGTGGCCATGCCGAAACGCGTGGCAGGTGCTTGAAATGCAAAATTTCATCCCGGCTTACACGAGCGGTTTGAGTTACCTACGGACGAACGTACGGATGATTTTCTTAGAACTAAAATTTCTTGGATGTATAGATAACCAAATTTTGTTACTCAAGGAACTCCGCTTCGCGCACGCGAGAACTCCGCTATGAATAAATTACAAAACCAGAACAGAAAATGCACCTGTTAGCTCTTTTTCCGTTCGAAGTGACAGATTTCCTTCCCTTTTCATATACTTCAAATATAGTGAAATCCTTACGCTACAAAAGGTGCCCCTTTCGGGCGGAGTCTCCCCGTATTGGTCATTATTGAGAGTATCGCGGGGTTGAAACCTTTTCCGCCAGCATCCGCCAGCATTCTAACGTTACTGGGCTTTCTCTTCAAATCTCGGGGACCGGGAAAACACCACTAGGGTGTGGCCTTTTCGGGCTTCCGATTAAAAGACGATTTAAATTTTGTTTACACCGTGTTATAGATTATAAAGAACGTTGGCGAGAAACATATATCAAGAATGATATTTCAACTCCTGACCAATTGTTTATTATAATTTAATGCAGGGGTTGCTTTTCTCGTAAAGCTTTTTGGAAAAAAGAAAACAAACAAACAATTAAAAACATTTTTGCTTGTTTTGGAGACTTTGTACTAGTTTTATTACTCAAATTGCGATATCCTTTGCACAGTGGATGTTCTTACGGTGAAAATGCAGTTTAATTACTGCTTAAATAACTGTCCGTTATGTGATGTACTTGAACGCGAAAATTTTCAAGATTCTCCCGTGATGGCAAAATCTCCGTTGAGTGTTAAATCATATCTTCAAATTTATAACCCAACTTAACCCAAGCCCGACTGAAAAATTCGCATTCGTAATATTCTTAAGTTTTTTTGTAACTCAGGCTGACGGTTCAGGCGGCGGTTCAATCGTCGGCGCGCTGGACAAGATCTGGACAAGTCTCCTAGAGTTGAAGCGATGAATTAAATTGCGACCTTACAAGGTCTTTTTGTGTATATAGTAGCTGAAATAATGGCGAATCTTGATCTTCGCAGCTAAAGACACAGTCAAATAAAAAGGTTATAGCTGACGTTGGCAAAGAAAAATGCTGAAAAAGAACATAGCTAAATCTGTTTACCGGTCTCACCTTCGACGTGAGCAGTTGCAACGTAGTTTAGCCAAGCTCCCCAAACAACACAAATCAGCAAGAGCGCTAACACTGCTAAACGACTTGCCATACTGAAGGTCTTGGCCGGGAATGTACCGCTCCCGATTGCAATCGGACAGTTATTATGGAAAAGCAGAAAAAATCACCCGCGGGCTTAGTCATCAGTTAAACATCTTGACGTCTTTGTGAGTTAGTTAATTATTTATTAGCATACTTTATGTCTTTCAAATTATTCAAGTCGGCTGCAACTGTAGAATTCTCTTAGAATAAAAATAATAAATCTACAGATAAATGTAAGCTTATCGCTTTTTATTCATTTTATCCTTTTTTTCAATTTATTAATTTCGAATTTCACCCTTTAAGGTGGAAGATAGGCTCTGAGCTTCCAATCATATAAATGAGATGGTGACTGGGTTCTTCAGGCTCTTTCTCGTTAAAATCCAAGAATAACTACCCTTTTGGGCACTGCAGCAGTATGCATGAATTTTGGTATTTTCGTAGTATAGTGAAAATATGATGTTGCAATTTTTGAAAAGAGTATTTTATATTTAAATTCAAGAACGATTTTCCGTTTTCAATGCCCGATTAGAATGAAGTAATATTAAATAATTTAGTAACGTTTGAGTTCACTAAGATAAAAAGAATCACTCGTGGATTTTTAAAAAGGAAATAAGTTGTCTCAGTCGTCATCCTTTTCTTTAAATTAGTTTGCCAACGAGAAGGTCAGTCGGATGATGAAGTAATAAAACATTAATTTTACGCGGTACGTCCTCTCGAACTTCCTAGTTACTCACTGTTTAAACTTTGTTTATTCTTTGTAATAGTTAATGGAAAAATGTTGGCCTGTAATTTAAAACGGATCTTTTAACTCTGTGGATTGAAATTTAAGGTAAAGATTGCTTTTCTTGAAAAGTTTTTTTTGAAAAAAAAAATACGATTAACCATTTTAGCTTGTTTTGGAAATTTTTTAATAGTTGCTCAAATTCTAATCTTCAATTCTTTGTAGAGTGAATCTTCTCTTGGTGAAAATGACTAGTTGCAC